CCCATAGATATCTGTGCATGTAAATATAATACATATATTTTACAAGTTTAATATCACAAATTAAATTATTTTCAGCTTAAAATTTTAAAGATCATGGTTTTTCCTAAATTTTCCAAGATTCTCTCTTTTTTTGTGTGTGCGGAAGATCAGCCCTGAGCTAACACCCATGCTAATCCTCCTCTTTTTGCTGAGGAAGAACGGCTCTGAGCTAACATCTATTGCCAATCCTCCTCCTTTTTTTTCCCCCAAAGCCCCAGTAGATAGTTGCATGTCATAGTTGCACATCCTTCTAGTTGCTGTATGTGGGACGCGGCCTCAGTGTGGCCGGACGAACGGTGTGTCAGTGCGCACCCGGGATCTGAACCCAGGCTGCCAGTAGCGGAGCGCGAGCACTTAACCGCTAAGCCACGGGGCCGGCCCTCCAAGATTCTTGAAAGTAATAACAAACTAGCTGGGAAGAGATTAGACACCTCTAAACCACTAAGAGTACTGTCTTGAATTTATTCATTACCACCTAATAATTTACTACTTGAAAGTACTGCAGCTTACAATAGTACCTAACTAGGGAGCTTTGGCACGGATTAACTCTTGCCCATTAAAAAGAGAAGTTATAACAAAGTTTCCCTCTATTTATTTTGAGCAAGTGGGGTCAGGATGTAAAGCCATTCAGTGAGTTCCAGTGTTATGTGACAGCTTTTTAATAACATTTGTTGCATCTCCTAATTAAGGACTGTGATTTCAAATAATTAAGTGGGGAACAACTGACAAGTTTACATACCTCCCTAGTACCCATTAATGGAGGGCAGTTAATTTTAAAGCTTGATTTTCTAGTGTAAATTTAAAGTGTTAATTATAGCTTCAAAGTCTCTGTCTGGGCAAAGGGCCACTACTAAGGGCCCTTGTTGCACGTAAGTAGGCTGTCTTCTGTTTATCTGAGGAGCAGGGTGGTGTTTGCTTGTACTTTTCAATGCAGAGTAAAACGCTTCTTCTGCCTAAACAGAAGTTTCTTTGGACTGGTTAAAATGCCATGTTGTTGGACATAATTAACATTTTCATGTGGCTTTCTATTTGTGAGGGTTGCCAATCTTTCCAAAAAGCAGCAAGTAAATTCCAAGATGACAGACTTCTAAATTTTCCAGTCATGGCAATCCATTATTGCTCAATTTCTATCCATATACCTAACAGAACATCAACTGGACCAAATCCATCTGTCCTCTGAGATTGTTTCACTTATTTGGGTTTAAATTCTGCTAAGTTCCAAAGAGTGGTTCTCTAAACCCAGACTCACATTCATTACTTGTAAAATGGGGATAAGAATTATTATTATCCTAGCAAATATTTGAACTCGCACTATATATTAATCATTGTGCTAAGCACTTCATATGAATTTTCTGATTTAACAATCACAAAATTCACATTATCACCTTTATTTTTCAGATGAAAAAACTGAAGCTTAGAGCTTAAGTAACTTACTAAGAGTCATAAAGTTAATAAGGAATGAAGTCTGAATTCAAAGTAAGACAGGCTGACTCCAGGGCCCATGCTTCTGTCTTATTGCCTAGCTCAGTGATTCTTAAGCTTTTTGACCTGAAGATCCCTTCACTCTCTTAATAATTATTGAGGACCCCAAAGAGCTTTTCTTTATGATAGTTATTTCTATCAATATTTACTATATTAGAAATTAAAACTAAGAAAATATAAAAATATTAAATCTTTAAAGAGTAACAATAATAAACTCATACTTAACATGAATAACTTTTTTGTGCGAAAAATGACAATATTTTCCCAAAATGTAGTAAAAAAGTGACATTGTTTTACACATTTATAAATTTTTTTAATGTCTGGCTTAGAAGACAGTTGGATTCTCCTATCGGCTTCTACATTCATTTGGATTCTCGATCTGCTTCTGTAATATGTTGATTTAGTTGTAGTATATAAAGAAACCTGACCTCACATAGATATGTAGTTGGAAAAGGAAGGACTGATAATTAAAAATATTATTCTTTGATACTACACCAAAACTCAATAATGACAGTTTCTTAAAGGTTAGTTGCAAAGTGAAATCTGAAAACATACCAATGAACTTTTTGTACCAAGTTACATTAAAATCCATTGATCTATCTTGCATTTTGAATGGACCTTTTTTACCCATGCATGATTTGGTAATATCATACATTTCATATCTGAAAAATATTGGTTCATCAAGTAATCCGTCTTCCAAATGTTGACACATTTCATTGTACAATAATATTAAAAAAATTGTATTCATTAAAATCATCACCAATTTCATCAGAAAAGTCTTTAAGTATTTGGAACCTGTCAAGATCATGATGGCAAATACAAGTTTTCCAAAATTCTAATTTTCACTTGAAAGCTTGAATTTTGTCATTAGCAACAAATACTGTCAGTTGTTTACTAACTCTAAAAGTACTGACTCACTTCATTTTTGAGAGAATGTCTGCCAAATAACCAAGTCTGAATAATCACAGTTAGTCATTTTTTTGAGTAGAAATGGTGTTCCATCAAAAAGTTGGCTAATTCAGCTCATAACTCAAAACAATTACACAAGTGCTTTTCCTTGAGACAACTGTTGTACTTCAGTATGCAGTTAGAGGGCTTTATGTATACTTGCCATTTAATCACACCCAATATTAAACAGAAATATATTTAAGATTTAATAAAATTAATACTTTTTACTGCTTCATCAAGAAAATTTTTAAGTGAACTGGCCGATTTAATTTTATTTTTAATTCCAAGTTAAAACACAAAATAACAGCGCATGTTGATAAAGAATATAATGACTACTAGTACAGTTTGGTGCCATTTTCTTGATTTGTGCTCCACCCATTTCAACACAGTGAAAACGGCAAATAACATCTTAGTATTATTATGAAAATAATTTCAACTTCACAGACCCCTCGAAAGAATCTTGAAGACTGCGGGGGGTCTATAAACCACCCTTTGAGAACTGCTGGCCTAACTCAAAGAGTGGTTATAAAGATTAAACGTGGTATTGTATATAAAGTGCTTAGCATAGTATCTGGCACATAATAATAGATACACAATAATTAGCTGCTTATAATTATGATGATGATTATTATGATTATGTAACAATGCTACAAAGGCACATAAGCACTGGATGAGAGTTACACTATTATGTCCTCCCAAATCTGAGATTCTATTATGATCAAATAACAAAAGAATCATCAGATTTAAGGTATCAATCATAATCTGACGCCACTATTTTCTGCTGTCTGGCTCCACAGCAGCAGTAAAATTTTTTTTTTTATTGTTTTACCAATTGCCCAAAGATTATACTACTAATAATGAAAATTATTTTAAAATTATTAGAAAGTAAAAAGAACATTCCCCTACAATCCTGACATTCTAACAAATCATATTATTTTAATTAATTGTTTCTTTCCATTACTTGCTTTTGTATGTATATATGTGTGTGAGTATAAAATATATATTTATATTTATATACATAGATAAATTTCTAGAATCACAATCAGAACATAAATAAAAGTATTTAAAAATGTATTTAAGGACAATACAACATCCTTAAGTTACATCAACAAATTGAAAGTGGTGTATTTAGTGATCCTAATCACCAGTGCGTTGGAATGTGAACGCCCAAACTTGCAAAGCAAACTTTGGCAGTTCTCCATGGAAACAGTGTGGCCCCATGAGAGAATGGTGGTTCTTACAAGACTACTGCTATGTAGGTTGTAGACTTTAAAGTCTTTATTATGGTTCTTATGACTGAGGTACCAGAACCTACAAGGGCAATAAGGCAGCCAGGATTGGGACACCTTGACTTAAAGCTCTCTTATTCAAAGCATTCCAATCCATGTAATCCTAATGGAACCACTCCAAGGAATACAAGATGGCTCAACAGCTAGAAAGAATACTTGTTACTATCATGGAAAGCCTACTAATACCACTCTTTGGATTTCTCTCTTAGCAGTGTCACCCTCTGAAGCATTGTAACCTAACTCATGCTAACATAACTCAGGGTACTAACTCAAGGCCAAGATCAGACATTCACATTAAGAAGCTAAGGCAGCTTGTAAAATTTAGCTATAACAAGTCACTCAAATAACAATGGGATATATGGCAGAAAGAAACAAATTATGCTGGCACTTCAACATTAGCTAACATTTGTTGAAATTTTACCACTTAAGACATTGTATTAAGTCTTTCCACACATTACCTTTTATTATTCTATCAATCACTCTATTTCCTCTGAGGTAATGATCTCCATCAGACATATAAGGAACCTGAGGCTCAGAGACATTAAGTGAATTACCCCAAGTCACAAGGCCAAGACCAAGCAGAGCCAAGATTTTAACCCAGCTCATTCTGACTATAAGCCCTTGTTCTTGATCACTATGTTATGATACTTTCCAACATTACCAACTATTTCCATGAAAAAAACCAATGAATTCAATAAAGACTTTTAAAAATACCTTCAGGGGTTTCATGGGCCCTCTGAAGTCTATCCATGTACATAGATCCTAAGCTAAGAACCCCTGCTCTAAGGATCTCAAGGCACCTAAGACAACATAATAAGTTTAAAACCTAAAAAAAAAAGGTAAGGCAGTAATAATAATAGCTACCATTTATTGAGCACCTACTACGTGCCAGATATGGTGTTTAGTGCTTTACATACATTACCTCATTTAGTTTTCATCCTACAATGCAACACCCATTACTCTGATGAGAAAACCGAGGCTTAAAAGGCTTGCCCAAAGAATCGGGATGGATATTGAACTCATGCTGACTCTTTCTATGGCACCATGTTCCCGCTAAGGCAAACACTTGAATCTATCTCAGGTCAAGAGTTTAAACTTATTGCCAAAACAAACACAGAATAAACCCTGGAGACATACTTACCTGTATGACTTATGCAGTTCCATGACCTTCTCTTCAAGTTCCTTGGTCTGATTTGGGGCCAGTTTAAAATCACTAACATAATCCGCACCATGGAGTTCTGGGTCATAGTCTCCCAGCTCAGACTGGATGGTGTAAGAACCTAATAATGCTAAAGTCGCAAAGGAACAAGGCAGACGCCCTGCAACTATGTCCTGCCGAAGCTGAAGACATAAATAATATCTATAGCCAAAAGAGAAAAGATGTTACCATGTCAGCAACAACAACAATAACAAAATATAGAGAGAGAAAAAGGAAGAAAAGAGGAGAGGGAGGGAGGGAAGGAGAGAGGATAAAAAAGAGAGATTAAGTAAATATGAGATAATATTAATAACTGTTCATTCTAGGTAGTGGGTATATGATTGTTCATTGAACTATCATTTTTTCCTGTCCATGTGTTTGACATTTTTCCATATAAAAAGTTAAAAAAAAAAACAAAACTGTAATTGTGTTGGACTGATGGTTGGAAAGCAGTTTAGAAAGAAAAGAGAAAAAGCTGGGAAAAGTGGAAGGAGGTGAAGAAACTAATATTTTGTTGCAAGCACTAAGTACCATATATACATAAATTATCTAATCTTCACACAAAAACCTGTGAGGTGGGTATCATTGCCAGATTATAGATGAGGAGGCAGCCTCAAAGGCTAAGCTTGCTCAATGTCAGATAGTAACAAGCTGTTTGGCTCCAAAATTGGGCCCTTTGTTGTCTATCACATTGCTTTGCCAAATGTGTAAATACTGCCCTTCAAATACAAAGATGACATTATTGACATATTTTCACTAGGATATGAACATTTTCCAGTGTATTTTTCCTCCAAGATGGGCTAAGTTGCATGCAGCCTTCCACGCACTACCATCTTGTAAGACTGATTCCACCTGTGTGTTAAACTGCTGGGAATTCAAATCGGGGTTAAAACACTTCAGTCCAACAAACCGAGTGCCCTACGTACATTAGACCCTCCTCTCTGTCAGTATAATGTTCACGCCTATGACCCTGACCTCCTTAGCACTTGTTCTAACTGACTGAGTTGACCACTTCAGACTGTTTTGCCAAACAGGAAAACTAGGAGGTTATGATTAAATTGGAATTCCTGTATTAATTAGAATTATATCCTTGCTTTGACCATAATAAGATATTGAATAACAAAGGCATCAGCAAGAGCTTTTGCTATCTATAATCACTGCATACATGTTTTTAAAAAAAATCAGAGCAACGCCAACCAAGTCACAAGAATCTTAAACTCCTCTAAAATGTAGGTAATTAGCAAATATTTTTAGGGATTTGTTTTGTTTTATACATAATAAACCTCAATGAAGAAAGATGAATAAGTAGAAACTCTAAGAGACAGATATTACCTGTAAAAAAGAAATAACCAAAACAATTTTCTTAGGCAGAGATATGGCATCTCAACTTCAAGAACATACTAAGGATAACTAGACAATAATTTAAAAAAATGGTACAGACATTTCACACTACTTAACAATCAGACTTTAAGAGTTTACTTAGGCTATTCCCTTATTTGAGAGATATGAAAACTGAGGCCCAGAGATTGTATATTTGTCTGAAATCAGATAGTTGACAGCAAAATCAGAATTATAAAGCAGTTTCTCAACAACCAACAGTTCAATTTAACAAACATTTGCCATGCACCTACTATGTATAAGGCTCCAGGCAAGACGTCATGGACATAAACATGTACAGTAGTACTCTTTACAGTATACCACTTTTCCATTTTATTTTTTTGTTAATATTTATATAGCATCCAATAAAGGCTAGTTTCTTAAAGGAAATTAGTAAGCTGTTTTTAAAGAGTGCAACATTTATTTCATAAATTAAGTGGCTCAAAAATTACTGAGGAAGATTCAGTTCATAAGGATCATGTACCTAATCATGCACTTTAAAAGGGAGATAGAAAGAAATAATAATAACATTGAGACTTTAGCTTTTTTGATCCCTATAAGATAGATCACGGTGGGAGAGGAGTATTAAAAAAAAAACAAAACCAACAAACAGCAGAGCTATTCTACCACTCTATTTGTGTCTTGCCCTTTGGAGAGTGCTATGATTTACAGGTTCGCTGTCCACAGCTTGGCATAATACCCACCATAGGCAAGGTTAATTCCCCTGCCAATTTCCTCCAGGCAAGTCACAGATATTTGAGGCTTTTAGGCTCACTTATTTGCAAGCCTGCCTTGCAGTGACCAGAAACTTTCTATCTTTGGTTAACAGCTCATCATTTTTCTTCAATTCTGCATAGGGAAATTCCCAGAGCTTATGATAATGAGAATTACTTAATACATATTTAACTATTAATAAATTATTTACCTTGTTATATCTTCTGTTAACTGTGCTGGGTCTGGTGGATAAAACTTTACATTAAATGTGAAATTCCAAGGGACACCTGTAGAAATAAACACAAAAGAAATTTATGCTTATGCCTAAGTTTCTGATTGTTAGAAGTACCTAAAAACATTCAAAAGTTTTTTCCTGAGGCCTTTTAATATTTTCATGCTTCGTGGATAAAATATTACTTTTATTTAAAAAAGAAAAAGAAGAAAGTTGTTTAGACACTATTTAAGAGTTAGAGGATCTCATTTTTTTACCCAACTTAATACAACAGTCTTCTTTACAAAGGACTAAAACTATATACTGGCCGGCGAATGGCCTAGTGGTTAAGTTCAGCACACTCCGCTTTGGTGGCCTGGGTTCATGGGTTTGGATCCCAGGTATTCACCTACACCACTCATCAGCCATGCTGTGGTGGCGACCCACATACAAAATAGAGGAAGAGTGGCAACAGATGTTAGCTCAGGGCGAATCTTCCTCAACAACAACAAAAAACAACCAAAAAGGACTGAAACTATATAGGCAAAATACATTAGGGAAATCATCCTACAGGTCAACATGTTCGTAGCAAAGGTTTTCAAAACGTGATCTATATACTACTCGGGGTCCTCAGATGTCATTCAAGTGATCCATGGATGCTCTTTTTTGGTTCTGGCATTATTTGTGATATCTCTCAATATTATCTCAAATAAACAAAAGCATTCTTTCTGTTAATATGGGTGAGATTAGGAGGTTATTTTAGAAATAAGAAGGAAGAGGTAAGATAGGTGGCTCGTAGAAACTATAGCTCTAATAAAAATATTTTAGATATGAAAACTACAAGAATTCAACGTTAAGACTCACACAAGTGTGTCATATTTTTTATCTATAATGAAAATAAGAGATTATGAGTAAAAGTTAAATGGAGTATGCATTTCAACTTTTCCAGCTAAGTGCTACTTTAGAGTTTTTCTAACATGACTGTTGGCTTCCCAAAGAGTAGCACCTGATCTCAGGGAGAAATAAGCATGATTGGTTATGATGCTGACATTTTGTTCAGTACTTGTTGCATGCCAGGCACTAGGCTAGCCCTCTGATAAACATTAACTCATTTAATCCTCACAGAAATCCCCAGGAAGTAGGTATTACTATTTATTCATTTTATAAATACATGTATCTAAACATATGCTTAAATGTGGTCAAAATTATATATGTATGAGATATTGTTTGTAATAGAAAATGTCTGGAAACAATCTAAATAAATTTATTTAGCAAGAGAAGATACATCTCCAAGATACAGTGTTAGGTGAAAAAACATCAAGGTCAAGAGTAGTACATATAGAAAGCAACAGTGAAAGTTGGGGGCTAGAAAAAAGTATATATTACACTTATGATTATATGTATGTGCATAAGCTATCCCTATGAGGACATACAATAACTAGTTATAGTATTTGGGAAACCAGGAAGGGGAACTCCCGGGAAGGGAAACTGAGAGGCTAGGAGAAAACGGATAGGAAGAAGACCTACTTTCACTCCATAAAAAAATATTTTTTTTAAAAAAGAGACTGCACAAAAGAAAGATAATAAGTACTAGTATATTAAAATTATCTATCCATTAATCCAGATCCCCCAGTGACCTCAAGTTAACAGATCTAATCAAATGAAAACATTAAAAAAAAAAAAACCATATGCGCCGATTGGATTTTTCTCTCCATTTAACCCAAAATAAGGAAGTTTAACTGTATTAGAAATAACCATATCTAAACAGAGATGGCCCAAATATTAACTCTTTTACTTTTGTTAACCGCAATTGTAAGAAGGGGAACTCAAACTTTCCACACAAGAGATACAAGTTTAGGTTACTGCTAAAGAAGATATCCAGTTTCACTGTGGGCAAGCTCAGGGTTAAATGCAATAGAGAGGCTAAAAAAGTTAATCACTTGCAATTCAAAAACTTCAACATTCAAAAAATATTAAAGTCAAGCTTTAGTCAGTGACCATTTTTAGAGTATGATATATATAATTATAATACCTTACGGAGAATATTTAGTGAGATAAAAAAATGGTGGCTGGAAAAGCTCTAAAAATTTTCAACATTAAAATTTCTGCCTTCTAACTCAGCAATGGTTCAGCGACATTCCTGCCAAAAGAGTATAACCTGAAGATTCATGTACCACGAGGAAACATCAGACAAACTCAAAGTGACCATTTATAAAATCACTGGTCTGGACTCTTCAAACTTTCAACATTATGAAATACATGAAAGACTCAGAAACTATTTCAGATTAAAGAAAACTAAAGAGATGTGACAACTAAATGCAAAGGATCACCTTGGACTGTTGAGATTAACCCAAAACGTCCATCAATAGGACTCGTTATATATATTATGTTACAACTATAGAATCATTAAAAAAAAAATTTTTTTTTTTGTGAAGAAGATCAACCCTAACATCTGTTGCCAATCCTCCTCTTTTTGCTGAGGAAGACTGGCCCTGGGCTAACATCCGTGCCCATCTTCCTCCACTCTATATGTGGGACGCCTGCCACAGCATGGCTTGATAAGCGCTGCATAGATCCGTGCCCAGGATCCAAACCTGTGAGCCCCGGGCTGCCGAAGCGGAGTGTGCGAACTTAACCACCATGCCACCGGGCCAGCCCCCCCCCACAAAAATTTTAATGAATGAAATAAATTTATATATGTTGATATGAAGAGTACTCCAAATTATGTTAAATAAAAAAGATTGGTTGCATATTTATATTAAATATGTATAAATATATCCATATTAAACTTATTCATATTAAAATTTATACATATTAAATACGTATTTATATTAAAACACATGTGTATCGGGGCTGGCCTGGTGGCACAGTGGTTAAGTTCGCACACTCTGCTTCAGGGGTCTGGGGTTTGTGGGTTTGGATCCCGGGTGTGGACATACACGCTGCTCATCAAGCCAGGCTGTGGTGGCATCCAATATAAAAAATAAAGGAAGACGGGCACAGATGTTAGCTCAGGGCTAATCTTCCTCAGCAAAAAGAGGAAGATTGGCAAGGGATGTTAGCTCAGGGCTAACAAAAAAGAAAAAAACAAACAAACAAACAAAAACCGCATGTGTATCTATACACACTCAGAATATCTCTGGAAAGAATACAAGAAATGGGTTAAAGGACAGAGGTAGCAGGGAGATTTACTTTGTACTATATTCATCCGTATCTTTTAATTTTATACCACATATTTATATCATCTATTAAAAAATTAATTTAAAAAACTACATATAGCATAATACATATATAACACAATATATAATACATAACAATGTATAGCATAATTGTATTTCTGAAAAGTAAATTCTATATATGCCTAGAAAAAAATCTTGCAGATTACACTAATTTAACAGTGATTAAATCTGGAGGATGGGATTTAGCAGCCTTTTACTTTCTCTATGATATATTTCCATAATGTTTAAATTTTCCACAATGGGTATATATTACTTGTGTGATGAAAAACATTTAAAAAACCCCCAAACCTTTGCAATAAATAAATGTCAATATTCTCTTTGGCTTAATGAAATATTTACATTTGATTCCCTATTAAAGTTTGTGTTAGGAACACAGTTTTTCTTTACTATGTTGAAGGAAGGGTTTTTATTATTTTGTAATTTTTTAAAAAACAACACTTAGGTTCTTTTGTTACCAAGAGATTTTTTCTTTTTTATAGCCAGGAAGGTAATCTACTAGATATTCTTCTCTACCCATCATAAACTCTGTTTTAACTTTTCTTCTTAAAAAGTCTTCTTGTACAATCATTTGTTCCTAAGTAATATTGAATATCAAAAGTATTTTCATTGAAAGGGGGTAGGAGTTATGCTTTTCTTGTCATGTCTCGAATATTCTGAATATTTTTTGCTGATTTGCATTTTAAAACAAGATTTTATAGGCCAGGAGCAAATATGGAGAGTTGCCAGTCCAAAGGAGTATTTTGTTTCTCTATCTTAAGAAATATAAATTATAAATAGGTCTAAAGGAAAACATTTCAACATAACAAAAATGTTTTCTTTTAAGAAATGAATGAAAAATAAAATTTGTTTTCAAGTGATAAAGAGTTAAAACTTACTAATCATGATGAATAACATCTCTCGCAGTTCCTCGAAGTTTCCTCAAAAGTAAAATAAACTAAAAGGACATCTAGTCAAAAACAGGGGGGAAAAGTCTCTACCCTTTAGCTAGCCCACTGGGCGTAGGGCTACAAAATACTAATCTACACTTTTTTCGACCTAGAAGCATTCATCCCAGGACATCAGTCTGAGCCGAGTGTGCAGCAGTAATATGTGCTAGAGGGCTGGGGGCTGGGAGCTGGCATCTGGGAGAAAGCCACAATGTCAGAGGGCCATTGGCAAAGAATTCTCAGTCTTCTATTCTTTCTTACTCTTCCACAGTCTCTTATACTTCAATTTGGAAGAGGACTGTTGAAAAGGGACAAAAAGAACTATAGAGAGGAAAACACGGAGAAGGTTAGAACGCAAAAGTCCAGAACAATTTAAAAGGAACAGAGGAGGCAGCAAACTCCTAATTACAGGCTACTATAGTTTCAATCACTACCCTTTTGAGAAATGACTCCTATATCCTTTTCCTCTTCTCATCTTTGTTCTTTTCCACCTTCTGTTTCTCTCAACCATTCCTATCTTCCCCAACTTTGCCTAGTTGTAATAAAGTCATCAAGATCTGACCTACATCTCAATAGCGTCCACCTCTGCTGTATCTTTCTATTACGGAATCTCCTCCTTCCAGGGGAAGGCTTTATCTCAATTTCAATGCCGTCTGCCACAGTCAGGATTCTAAAGTGACTCACAGCCAGAAAATGGTTCAAAATCCTCTGACCTACTAAAAGAAAGAAAGAACTATAAAAAGAGCTATATTCACTTACCACGAACCTGCTTTTTTATTTCTTTGGCAGAATCCAGCCATGTCTGTAAAAAGAAGAAAAAGCATTCACACAGAGCTCCAAAACACATAAACCACAGAGTACCAGAAGTAGGATTACTGACCATCTTCGAATAGCGCCTGCGGGTCAACCTACATTTCCGACATTCTTTGCATTAATTTCACACAGCACAGTAATTGTGAGCACAGAAACAGGGAGCCGGCGAGTTGGCCTTGCATCCTAGCTCCCCTACTTCCCAGCTGAGTGACTTTAGGCATCTCTGTACCGAAGTTTCCTCATCTATTAGAGGAAATTAAAATGAGATAGCAGTAGTAGTGCCTATCTCAGAGAGTTATTGTGAAGATTAAATGAGTTAATATATGTAAAGCTCTCAGTAAACAAGAAATGCTAAATACGTACTTGCTATTTTTATTATTCTGCAAAGACAGGTAGAGATCTCTAACCAGGATTAATTGACATCACCCAGATCTTGTTTTTCCCTTCAGCTCTGAGCTCTGGTCTCATTCCAGTTTTCTATGAATAAATATTTGTCTTCTCTGACTACTCTTGCCCACACTGATGTCTCCCTCCACTGTTCTCCAACCCCACTTAGAGTCTGCACACCACGAGGGCAGGGCTCCTCAACCTCAGGGGGACCATGCAAAATAATGGCACTTGAAAAAGAGCCTCACCATTAACATCTTTCATGGGTTCTTGGGAAATGTTTAGAGACAGAAATTTCTAAATTGAATTGTTTAAAATATTTTTATTGATATGAGACATACAGAAAAGTACATAAAGCATAAGTGTATAGATCGATAAATTATCAAAATGAACATACAAGTATAACATTACCAGCACCCCAGGAGCCCCTCTCATGCCTCCACCTAATCCCTCCCCATTCCTTCCTCCAAAAGGTTTAAAATTGAATTTTAGTGGTATTTAGGAAAGAGGAATAAGGTGCCCCCTCCTCACCCTCTACCAACAAGGGCAAAAAGCACAAGGTGACCATCCCATTTGGCATACCCAAGGAATGGGCTTGAACACCACAGTCTTATATGTGATTATATACTACTTTAACTGTTATATAAAGATAGTCACCACAACAGACAATAAGTACAGGAGTGGGGACTAATTTCCTTTTATCTCTCCTGCCCCTGCAATTAACAAAGAAGATTAAAAAATATGTGTTAAAAAATACCACTTAATATAAAATTGTTCTATAGCATAAAAACTAAGCACACATTTGTTTAAGCCCTGTCAGAAAAGTAGTAACCTTCATCTCCCATTAAGACTAAAGAACTTCAAATTATTGTAGGTTCAAATGCAAAGAAAGACTTTATTTATTTTATTTTTTTTTTAAAGATTTTATTTACTCAGTTTTTCCCCCCAAAGCCCCAGTAGATAGTTGTACGTCATAGGTTCACATCCTTCTAGTTGCTGTACATGGGACTCGGCCTCGCGTTGGACGGAGAAGTGGTGCCTCGGGGCGCCCCCGGGATCCGAACCCAGGCCGCCAGCATCAGAGCGCGCGCACTTAACCGCTAAGCCACGGGGCCGGCCCCCAAAGAAAGACTTTAAAACACCAACTGATAAATTTTATGGAACCTCTGAGAACCATGGTTTATACTATGCAATCCAGAACTCTTAACAAAGACTACGTTCTACCACTTTGGAATGAACATCTTCCCACCATAATGACTTTTAATAATACTATTTTCCACTATTTTTTAAGAGAAATCGCCCAAGGTAACCTGAAGCTGCCAAGTTTCATACAGGGATTCCACAAGCCATCCTATGACGGGGCTAGAATTCCCATCAATTTGACATAAAGAAGGCAAACCCAGATTTGTGTCAATCATATGGGACTCCAAGGTATAAACTACATTATAAAACTAATTATTATTGCTTCAGTATCTAGACCTCTAAATCAAAATAAAAAACACTGTATACAAGATAATAAAAATCAATGTGTACAAGAATAGGTACTTTTATGCTCAATTTAAATTATTCAATTCACAGCATCTGATTTAGCCAACAAATATTTGAGTAATGTCTCCATGTGCTAGGCACTGTAGTTACAAAAAAGGATTTAAAAATAGTGCCTGTCTTCAAGGAGCTGTCAGTCTAATGGAAGAGGTGAACAGTGAACAATGAATGTGTTTGTTCTAGTTGTGATGATTACCATGAAGGAAATGTGTGTGAGTGCTATGATAGAGCGTAGAGAGCTCTAAGAGCACAAAGGAGGTGCACCAAAATGAATTGGGTATAAGAGGCAGTTAGGAAACAGTTTCTCAAAAGAATGTTTGGGAGATCTAAATTGAGCCTTGAAAGACAAACAAGAGTTAGGTGGGCAAAAAAGAAGAGGAAGTAATAGAAAGGCACAGAGAATAAGAGAGAACATGACACATCTCAGTTGCTACATGTAGTTCAGCACAGCTGGAGCACAGAGGTAAGGAGGAGAGATATAAAATGGAAAAGAATGGCCAGATCAGGGAGGACATTCTATGGTAAGAAACTTGGACTTGATCAAGTTCTAGGCAAGGGGGAGCCATTGAAGGATTGAAAATAAAGGAGTGGCATGAATTAGAGGAAGCATGACTGTAGACAGGGAAGCCAAATAAAAGGTTGTTTTTGAGAATGATAATTGTGGTCTAGAAGAGAATAATGGTTATGGGGACAGGCTTTGAAGTCAGATAGTCTTGAGTTCTAGTCCTGTCTCAACCTCTTCACCATTTACTACCTGTGTAACCTTATATAAGATAATTTTTCTGAGTCTCAATTTTCTCATATATAAAATCGGGATAAAACGACCCTCCTCACAGAGTTATTGTGGATTAAATTATTTGATGTAGAAAAAGCACATAGCCAGTACTGAATAAATTATACTGATATTGATAATCAAAAGGGCCTGATGGGATAAAGTCTATGGGACAGAGAAGAAAGATATTTAGGAGCTAAAATGACTGAGTAGATGGGGTATGGGGAGGGGTGGGCTGATGATAAGAGTTGGTAAGGTATAATGGTAAAGGATAATTCCCGAGTTGCTGGCTTGGGCAGGGTGGAAATGGTACTATTCACTGAAACAGCAAATGTAGGAAAAAGAATACATCTTCATGAAGAAGGAAAAAATAGGAAAAACTGGAAACAACCAAATGTTTATTAACAGTAGAATAAATAAATTATGATATATTTATATAGATATATGCCTAAGGTATCTTTGGAAATCCAAGTAGAATATTTCAATAGATAGCTGGATAAGCAGGTGTGCATTCAGAAGAGAGATTTGGACCAGAGATACAAATTTGGGCACTTTCCCCATATAGGTGGTAGATGAAACCATGAAAGTAGATAAAAATCACCCAGGGAACAAACAGTAGAGTGAAAAGAAAGAAACTAAAGGTAGACCCTTGGGGAACACTGACATTTAAGGGATGAGAGAGGAAAAAGAGCTGAGAAGTAAACAGAGAAGAAGTGACTAAGTGGTAGGAGGAAAACAGGAGAGACTGGCATCACAGAGTCCAAAGGAATAGAAAGTTTCAAGGATGGACAGCCAAGCTCATCAACACTGCAAAATGGACAAGTAACACGAGGATGAAAAACATGAGGATCTTGGCAAGGGCAGAATGATAAGGGCAGAAATCAAAATGCAATGAGTTACACCAAGTGCAGGTGAAGATGTGACACAGCTGGAACTCTCATTCAGTGCTGGTGGGAGATGGTATCCACTGAAGCTGAACATATATGTGTTGTCTACAACCCAGCAATTCCACTTCCAGGAATACACCCAACAGAAATGAATATGACAAGATAAGCACTAAAAGACATGTACAAGAATGTTCCTAGCAGCAGTATTCATAAAAGCCCCAAACTGTAAACAAGCCAGACATCCACCAACAGTAGAATGCACAAATAAAGTGTGGCATCGTCAAACAATGAACTATTATACAGCAACGAGAATGGATAAACTACTGCTACTCGCAATAACATGGATGAATCTCAAAAACACAATATCGAACAAAAGAAGCCAGACCTAAGAGAATGTATGTATGATTTCATTTACGTAAAGTTTAAAAACAGGCAAAACTAACTGATGGTGATAGATGTCAGGAAGATATCTGTTACTTTTGATAGGGGGTGGTATGGGAGTAATGATTGTTAGGCATTGGGGGTAGTGACTGGGAGGAGGCACAAGGGGGATTCTGGAGTCCTAGTAATGGCCATTTTTTGATCTTGGGAGTATGTTCACTTCCTAAAAATTCTTTGAGATATATATGTATGATTTACACATTTTCCTGCATTATGTTTTACTAATAGGGAGTGAGGAAATAGAGATAGTTATGCGTAAACTAAATTCTCAGGGAGCATTGGTTGTGAAGGACAGGAGAAGGAGAAGGTTATAGCTAGAGGAAAGAGGCAGAGATTAATTTATAAAATAACAAAATATTGAGAGGATAAAAGTTATAGAACCCTATTTTAGTAGGGATCTTAAGATGCCCCCCAAAAATACCAATTCTGGATTATCTTCTAGTTTCTTTTTTTGGGAGTGTGAGGAAGAGTGGCCTTGAGCTAACACCTGTTGCCAATCTTTCTCTTTTTGCTTGAGGAAGACTGTCTCTGAGCTAACACCTGTGCCAATCTTCCTCTATTTTGTATGTGGGGTGCCACCACAGCATGGCTTGACGAGCGGTGGGTAGGTCCACACCCAGGATCCAAACTCAAGAACCCCTGGCCACCAAAGTGGAGTGTGTGAACTTAACCACTACACCACCGGGCCAGCCCCTATCTTTTAGTTTCTATTTGAATACTTTCAGTAGCAAGGATTCCCTTTCAAGAGTCCATTTTGCCAGGCATATCTTGTGAGTTAAATAAATTAACCTTTTACACAGAATTTAAGTTTTGTGCTTTAAAAAGAATTGCACTCCTTCTCAAGCTTAAAACAAAGCTTCAAAATAATATAGAGATGAAGAGCAGTGATATCCTGATACAGATCTCCATTTATTCAACTGAAGAATTACAGGTATCACGTGTGCTCTACTTCAAAAC